GAAAATGGATCTCAGTATGGACGACTGTCATCTATGGCGGGCCAGAGGGCACGATCCCACCCCTTCCCGTCCGCGCGCACGCACCTGCAGGTCTATGCAGGTCTTCGTGCCACCGGAGAGATCGCTTGAGGTGCTGGGCAGTGCTGGATTTGATGTTTGGGAGGGACCCCCTTTTGGCTTTGAATCAACGAGACCAATCCATCCGTTTCCTTTTCTCCACAGGACTTGTCACGTCCCCTCCAAATAATCCCAATCGTGAAGCCAGCCCCGGGCTTTCTGCCTGTGAGTTGTTAGCCGGAGACAGGACAGCGACTCCAACTGAGTCTCCGTGGTGCTTTGTGGCATAGAGCCCACGCAGGTTCCAGGACACGCGATGCCGATTGGGGCCCGCAATGGATAATTCCAATGGCACGCTTTCAGGGCACAGCAGGCGTGGAAACGGTATCGTAGCGAGCTCGGGGCTCGCAAAGCATCGTTGACTGCGACCATTGGCGCAGCTTGGTAGGGCAGTTCGATAACAACTCGTGGCATCGAAGAAGCCCCGGGGCCGAGCGGTTGATGTTCGTGGACCAGCTCTGGAGATCTCTGGAGTTTGGCGGCATGCGACTTCGGTCCTTGCAGGAGGAGACGCATTGACAGTAGCAAACCCATCATGCGTGAGGAAATTGACGCAACTGTATGATACTAGTAGTATGATATAGTATGGCTTGCTGGCTTGGCTGCGTTCGAGCTTCGTTCGCCTAGTCCGTGTTCCGCTGTTTCGTACATGCTCCCATGCCCGCACCAGCTTACAGCGTGCGGATACGTCTAAACAAGCACTCCCTTTGACCCGCGGCGCAGCAAAGCTTCTGGGAAGCACATGTGCATCCAAAGCCTGCAGCCTGCAAAAGGAGCTGAAGCATCGCTCTCTTCTGGGCTCGGCGCTTGCTCAGGATGGTCATGAGCGGCGAAGGCAACGCAAAGCTGCTTTCTGCTTCCGCCGCCTCTCCCCCAAGCGAAGGTTACATGCGGAATCTGACTTGGAATACGGATGCTACATGCCTCGCCTTCAATGCGGAGAACTCTTTTTGAAGGTCCTGCATTTGGCGAAGAGCCCTAAACTCTGTGACGCCACGACAGCGAAGCATTGCACTCCTCCGAAACATTTGCGACGTACTCCATCAGCTTTCTGCCGTGAGTGCTATCCATGCCAGCCTCGTGCCTCGGACGTGGCCACGAGGTTGATGCAAGTGGACGCTCTAGTACATGGGTAGTACACCAGCTATGTACCATGTCTGAAAGAGCTGAAGATTTGCGCAGCATGCTCCTTGTCCAACACGAAACATCAACGCAACAAAGGGCCTTTCTCCTCGGGATTGAGACGGAGTGCCACCTGACAATGGTGCTTCCGATAGCAACGGCAACATTTACGACGGAAGCCGCTCACGAGGATTACCTAATAAACTTGCCGGTGCAGCGACCAACAGACCACAACGCGAGGCGAGTTGCTTCAGCCATGCGGTGCATCTCCTGGGTCCATCTGGGCCATGCATCAGCCATCATCAGCCTCTCTGCTGCCTAGTCCGCAGCCCCGTCAAGTGCATGGCCATGTTCCGGGTATGAAGTATGGTGATGTAGGGAAGGAAATGAGGCGACCACAACAGCATGGCTTTAGTTCGGATATGCACAGAGCATTGGCAAAAGACCTGGCTCTGTGGGTAGTTGCGGCGCTCGTGGTGCAACAGTCGCATTGCCTGCACGAGTCTCGGATGCTTTGGTGGAGACTAGATTTAAAAGCTGCACATCCAGCGTTGAACTCTGTCAACAAATAGAAATCGTAGCCATTGCCTCATGCACGGGCCATCTAATTACCCACTTGCACGAGCTGTGCCTCTGACATCCGGTTCATGGCATGCAGGGCACGGCCCAGTCGCCTCAGAACACCGTTGGCAAAAGCAGCTCCACAGAAATTTCGCAGAAGACCGCCGTGGACATGCCTCCCAATTCCACAACTAAGGCATGTGCAGTACCGTTTTCTGGTGAAGTTGTCGCAAGCTTTCGCTGTCTCCTCGCATCGCATCTGTGCCTACGCGTGCTAACAACTCTTATCTTGTTCTTTTACGTTCTATTCTATTCTAATGCACTCGACACAGGCAACAGCCTGTTGACATTGCGAAGGAACGGATGTACTTGAGAGCCTGTTGTGGCAAGAACGGCTGTGGCACTTCGGCATCGATCCGGAACATAGGCGGCCTCGTCTGCATCATCAGCTGCACCACGAAAGTCCTGACAAGTTGGCGCATGCTTTTTTGGATACCAGAAGCTCTCCACGCCTGCAATCGCATCCGAGTTTCCGAACGGTTTGACAAGAGAAGCGCATATGGCCTTATTTTCAGAAGCAGTCCAATATGCTTGCACCCACAGGAAACAGCTTGGAACCGTGCTCTGCATGTTCCTCTTGGTCTATTCCTGTACAACTTCATATGATCAGAGGAGATCAACATCGACCAACAATTTCACCGCCATTCAATCTACGGTGCTTGCTGGATAAGGGGCGTACCACACTTCAGTGCCTGCGAGTGCAAGCATGTGCTGATGAATCTGCTTCCGAGGCCATTCAGAAGCGCCTGAGAGTACCATATCTCCGCATCCTGCCACTTGCGTTGGCCGAAAGCTCGATTGCCCCGGTCCTGCGCTGCAAATCTCAACAGCTGCAGGTTGGAGAATGTGAAGCGTCCTTGAAAGTCCGACCGGCTGCCACCTCTCAGGCTGCAAAAAGCATGCAAACAACGGCAACCGGTCGTAGCGTCGTGGTCGAAAGCAAGCTTGGGCTACACTTGAATCGCGTCTTTCCTCCTGTGTCGTCATGCGGTGTCAGGAAGCACGAATGCCCCATCTGACTTATGTTGAGAAGTGGGAATGAGTCGAAACCAAGTCGCTTTCACTTCAAGGCTGGCAGGGCAAATTCCATGCTCAAATTCCGGCACCTTTGGAAAGTTCAATTTGCAACTTTTTGTCGGCGAGCTGTAGCAGACCAGGAACCTGCTTTGCGGCTACTGATACTGAGAATCTGTTCATCTGCAGGATCACGTTTGGCTTTGCTTTGCGGCAAGCTCAAAAGGAAATGCCATATTGCGTGTCATGTGTATTTCCTCAGTTTCGCCTGTCTTGCATGCCTCCGCGTAGCGCTTTGCGCGACACACATTGTAGGACGAAGGGGGTTTCGACTAAGGCCGTGCTCATGCTGAAAGACACACACTTTCGGGCTTGAAGTCTGAATTCAAGTGGCTGCCAAGTTGAGGGTTTCGTCACGATTTCGCCCGTCCGATGCATCCACGGCGTATTGCGTTGCAGTTGTTTCGTGGAAGAGCATTGAAGGATGTCAAAAGCTTCTTTGCAAAGGACATGTGCTGCAGTATTGTCTGTTGTTCCGAATCGTTCAACACACCTGTGCAAATTTGCAGGAATCGGCTGGCACCAACGTTGCACGCGCGCACACACACACACACAGAAACACAGAGACACACACACACACACATATATATATATATACACACACACACACACACTCACTTACGCTTACAGGCTTGGCAAGGATCCCTTCGACGAGCGACTAACAGGACCGGACGACACACTGCCAATCACGGTTCAGACTGTCGCAACCGTGCAAGCATGTCAATATGAAGCACGCATCTTGGTGCCACAAGGGGCTCACCGACTAAGCTGCATGCTACAAGGGGGCCCATCCTTGTTTGCAGGTAGTCCAGCTGATCGAGCTGGATATCCCAACCAGAACCGTAGTTCGCCATAGTTTGGTTGCACATGCTAGGCTGTTAACGCCCTCTGCCCCTGGCAAAAGACAGGCCGGCAACGTTACATTTCACCATGTCCAGGTGTTCACACACAAAAATGCAAGGATCCTTTCGCACTAATTATCAGCAGACTCGAAGGAGACAAACCCTTGACAAATACGATCTACTTGCCCAGTTTGCCAGCCAAAAATGTTTAAGTGGGACCTGCCGAAAGGCGTCCTATCACCAGGAAGCAATCAGGATGCGGCACGACCGCGCAGCGCAGACTTGGGCAAGACTTACCCAATCATGCTTGCGGCTTTCAAGTGCCGTGCGTCCTTAGACTCGCTCACCAAAATCACCAGTAGTCTAGCATTCTAGAAATCTAAGTTATGGGCCGCTTCCTTCCAGTAGGCACATAGTGACGGTCAGGCGAGTGGAGCCAATGCCTTCCTTCGCACAAGTCTGTGTGGAGCCACCGCGAAGCGAGCAAAAACAGTCAGTGAGTCAGCCTGGTGCATGTCTTTTACTCTGAACAAAAGTCTCCAACAGGCGTTGATCACCACGCCCTCCCACTCTTCCCAACTGTTGTTTCATGTCGTTCACAGCAACGAAACTCATCCGTTCCGAAAAGCTGTTGGCATGTAGTTAGCGGGGCGAATGCACGGGTGCAGGAGATTCGGCGTGTGCACGGGGACACATCTGCATCGAAGCCGTTGAGAATGGATCAAAATCCACAGGTTCGGCGCTTCTGGAGGATTGAGTGTGATGATGGTCAGGAATCTCATGATTGCTTCTGATGCAGATTTTGTGCAGACACTCGCGCACAGGGTGCGCAGTCAAAGCAATCGGAACAGCATGGCCATGTTCCAGAATGTCTTGTGAGGAGACCGCACCGGATTCGCGCGCCAAAAAGACCCGAGCACAGTGACGGCAGATTCGCACACAGCGGATCTGCAGTGTCGGGGCTTGTAGCTCTGAGGGATAGTAATGTCGCGACCGAGCGAGCAGCAGGACAAGCCAGAGTGCTGCCGAATATCGCACACAAACCCCCACGCAACAGGGGGTGTGCACGTCAGCAGCTAGCCTCATCAGGGTCACTCCTGAGCGGACTCTGGCAAATCAGCAAATGCTCGGAGCGCTGTCCCGCAAATGACTTCCCAAACCGTGGCCGGAAGTTGTTATCAAGCCGGGCTTCTGTTTCTGGTACTTCGTTGTTTGCTGTCAGAATCAGCTAAATGACATGATGAGAAGCATTTCCCTTCGGAAGATTTGGGAAGCAAACGTAGTGAGCTCCTTTGCTTTTGGATTGTAGATCGCTGTAGTTCCACATTGGTATCTCCAACTTCTGCTTGTGACACAACTCCGCACGAAGCGGACGCATGCTGCTTGTGCCTTGGAGAAGTAGCGTATGACAGGTACAGGCTCAGGGGCTGTAAAGGCCTGGCAGCAAAACTCTCAGGGCTACAAAGGATGAGTTTTGTGTAGACTGGGCGAGGCAGACTCGCTGTGGCCTGCCAACCCAAAGTCGGGGCCGAGAGATCATCGCTTTTCACACCGTAGAGCGGCCGTCGCTCGGATACGCTGCCAATGACCCAGCTATACACCTGACAAGGCATCACATCCCGGCGCTCGGAAGACAAACGAGCACAGCCGGGCTCCTCCGGCGACCCATGGGCTTCTCGGCTCAAGACCAAGCCATTCCTCTTGAGTTTTGCAGCTCAAGAAATCTGCATCTACTGACGCCGACCAGCGCCGAGCATCGATGCGTAAACCATGTAAGGCTCTGGCTGATTCTGGTACAGCGGAACACCGTTGCGCTCATCGCCTGTGGGAAAGTACTCGCCGATTGCCTCAGGATCGCCTGCTTCTTTCACCCAGTAGTGGTGCATGACCTCGGCAGCATCGCCAGTGGCCAAATCCATGTGATCACCGGAGTGGACCCGGACCGAGTCTGCAGGTCTTCGCTTTTCATAGGCCTCCACAGCTATCTTGATCTTGAGCTCCTGAAGCCTCTGGCACAGGGAGAGGCAACAATGAAGCTCGGCATTCAGCCGTAAGCCGTTCAGAGAGGCACATTTGTTTAAAAGTAGTAGGGCATTGGGAGCAGCAGTTGGGTCGTCGCAATCGTCATGCTAGTAGTACCAGAAGTTGCAGCTAAAGTAGGACTTACCATCGCAGCTACAGTTGCAACTACACCAGCGACGACGACGACTACGACGACGACAACGACGACTACTACTACTGCTGCTCCTGCTCTTCTACATTCTTCTACTGTTGCGCATGTTGGCACAACGCCAACTGCTAAACACTACCGTGCACTCCGCAAAGGACAGTGGCGTTTCACCCAACACGGTACTGTTGCAAAGCCCCAGACAGTCCTGAGACAGCACAACAGTAGCAGTTGCAGTAGCAGTAGTATGCAGTAGTAAATAGTTGTCGTCGTCGTAGTGGTACTGTGGATGCAGGCAATCTTGCACCGCTCGCAAGATACGTCAAGTAGCCTCACCCCGCACCCCCTTCTTAAGATTGCTATGAGCACCGGGCTTTGCAAGTAGTAGTAGTAGTGGCTAGTAGTAGTAGTAGTAGTAGTAGTAGTAGTAGTAGTAGTAATAGTAGTAGTGGTAGGTGGTAGTGGCAGCAGGAGTAGTAGTAGTAGTAGTAGTAGTAGTAGCAGTAGCAGCAGTAATTG